TAAGTACATAGTGTTAAGTTTAAGTGGTTACTATTTTTGGTTTTAATACAATTTATTGATTTTTGGTTTTTGGCATTATTTCATTAAGGTATAGTTGACAAATAAAAATTGTATATATTTACAGTGTGCGATGTTTTAATATTTGCAAATAGTTGAATCAAACTAATATACATATCCATTACCTCACATATTTTTTTGTTGCGAGAACATTTAAGATCTACCCTCTTAGCAACTTTCAGGTGTATAGCACATTATTATTAACTGCAGTCAGTCATGCAATTGATCTCCTGGACTTATTCCTCCTGTCTAAATGAAATTTTGTATCCTTTGACCAGCATCTCCCCATCTCCACACCCCACCCCAGTCCCTGGCAGCCACCATCCCACTCTCTGCTTCTATGAGTTCAACTTTTTTAGATTCCACCTATACATGAGATCCTGTGGTATTTGTAACATAATTTATTTAATTGTACATTTCTATAATGACATTTTTAATGACGGCTGCATTTAACAACCTGCTTGAGAAATTCCTCAAATTTAACAATCAGCTCTTGTGAGCCGAGATGAGCTGGTTCCAATTTGCCACTAAGTGCTGGGTCTGGGAGGGGGCCTCATGAGTCTGTGACCTCGATGCACTTGAGTGTGAATCCGCACTCCTGTGTCTCTGCAGGTCCACACAGATGTGTTCATGTGTGACTACGTGCAAACACATGCTGAGGAATCGCCGAGATCTGTGTCCCTTGTCCATGCTGGTCTCTGTGTCTCCTAATCCTCTCTGGCCTTCATGTGTGTTCATGTGTGTGGCCCCACATGTCTCCAGGCATGATGCTGTGTCTGCTCTCCCGTGTGCACTTTGGCATGCCCTGTCGCTGATTCTCAAGGAGACCATGTGCCCATGTGCACCCAGCGGTGGGTCTCTGTGTACACACTGCTCCATCTGCCTGGCCCCATGGGTGTTTGCATCCCTGTGTGCTAGGGGCACCACATCTCTCTGCATGGACCCATGTGTCTGAGTGCCCACTCCAGTGATGCGCCAGATCCAGCTCAAGAGCTAAGTCTGGGCATTACCTTCCAGATCCATGCTCAGTGACATTATTTTGCTAGCTGAAATCAGCCATGATGAGTTATTTACACCAGGAGAATTGGCCAATGCTCCCAATCAGAGAGGTGATTGTTCAACAGTTACCGGCACACCACATGGATCCACATGCCTCTGTGTGTCCACATAACCATGTGTATTTCTGTCTCCCCGTGTGTACCCATGTGCCAGTGTGTGTTCATGTGTCTGTCTGCATCTCTGTGGATACATGTGACTTGTGTGTCCCTGTGTGTCTCTGTCTGTGCACCCACAGCCCCAGTGAGCCCCCACCCCACCCCGTTCCTCTTCAGCAGTTGGTTCGGCAGGAAGTTGCTGGGGTGGGGAAGACGGTGCAGTCTCCCCACAGTTCTCCACACCCCCTCTTCAGGACACCTGCACACCCAGGGCTGAGAGGTGGGGGAAGGGTTCCCTGCATCTAGAACCCCTGTCCTCTGTGCTTGTCTCAGACTCAGCCCGCAGCAGGGGACGGAGGTGGCCGCGGGCAGGTGGTTGAGGAAGAGGAAGTTGGGGTAGTGTTGGGTCACTCTGTGGCTACACCAAGCTCTGGCTGGCCAATGCACCCCCTGGGCTGGCTTGAAACCCCAGCCATGGTTCATGGGAGCTGCAGGAGCTGGTAGCCAGGCTGGACACCTGCAGCACTGAAAACTAACCTCCATCTGGTGAGTAACCATCCTGGGTAGGGGGAGGACAGGTGCACCAGCAGGAACAGAGCGGCAGTGGAGGCCGGGGATGGGGAGGTGAGGGGGTAGTGGACAAACAGACCGTCATGGTCTCTTTCCACCTTCCCATCAACCCACTTCCCCAGTGAGTGGGGAAAGCCATCTGACCTGTGTGTTTGTTCTACGGAGGTCTGTAGTCATAAGAGTTCACCCCAGGGGAAGGGGCTGGGGTCCGTGATGAACAACTAGGTAGGTAGAAAAGGAGAATGAAGCCCCTTGTAGCCAAGGCGTGTGTGGGGACAGGTGGCAGAGAATCAATGCGGGAGCTTGGGCACCCTGTGGCAAAGTCAACTGCAGATTCCAGGGTCCCCCACGCACCTCCCTGAAGCAGACTCTGCAGGGCGGGGAATCTAACTTTCAAAACAAACTCCCACTTAAGGCTAATTTCTGAGAACCAGCCCTGAGAAGGGCCTCTCTCCGATCTCAAGGTCCTCCATAAAGAATCACCCTCCACCGAGGCAGCCCTCCAGGTGGGAGCCACCCTCCTGGCTCCCACCGTTGTGGCCCACCTTGGGGAGCCTCCCACACCCAGCTGCCTGGGGTTGGGCGAGGTCAGGGAGGAAGGCTGCGGTTTGTGCTGGGCACACCCAGGTCGGTTCCTTCCTCCCGGCCCCCAGCGCTGCACACCCGAGAGGCGGGCTTCAGGCACTCTGGGTTCTGGGAAGGTGGCTTGGGGGCAGGAGGTGGTGAATTCGGAGTGGAAGGCTGGAGCCAGGAGGACAGAGCTGGTGAATTACACTGGGGAGAGAAAAGAATGCTGCACTCAGGTGGCTAATTTTCCAAGGCCAGGTCACCTGCAGTTCCAAGAAAAGGATTTGACAACCAAGGGGAGCCAGGGGAGGGTTGCCCCCACCATCAGCCACCTCTGAGCTCCATCACCGTGACTGTGAGTCCTTCTGGGAGGGCTTCCTGGTGAAGGCAGCCTTTTCACTAGGCCTTGAAGAGCTGGTAAAATGTCCACCGCAACACCTTAGTGTGTCTGGTCTCCCTGGACCCCACCCCCCAAGTCCCTGACACAGAGCTGGACACATGCTGATGCTCAGTACACTGTTGTAGATGATGTTTTGATTGCATCTGACAGGTGTGGGTTCAAATATTGGCTTTTCTGCCTCTGTGTGGCTGTGAGCAAACAACTTAACCACTCTGGGCTTCCGTTTGCTAATCCATAAAAGGGTTATCATAAGGCCTTGCTGTGAGATCTCAGTGTGGTGCCTGGCACACAGCAGGAGCTCAGAAAACATTGTCAACATTGCCTGATCCTTCATATTCCATCCTTGTCCCCAAGCCTTGCTTCCTGAGTAGTCCCCACTTATGCAACTTGTGTGTGCCATCAGAAGCTTTCTGTTCTGTAGAACTGAGGTTACCAGAAATGGCAAAGAGCAGGGTGGTAAGGGAGGAATTGGTAAAAGCCACAAAAAATGATTACATTCTATAATGTTGAATATACTCCTTGTCTGGATTTGAGCATCACCTGTCACACACAGGTATTGATATTCAACCTGTACTCCACAGATATATACAATCGATTATGTTACGATAAAAATGTGATAATAATAAAAGAACCTTTCTGTGCCACACCTCAAAAGAAAGACTCATGTTGGATCCAGTCCCTAAGCAAGTACGCTAGGGTGGGCTGCTTCAAGAGTCCCACCCCTAACCAGAGATAGCAACCGGCTCCTTGGACCTGCCTGAGGTGGGCTCTTCCTCAAAAGAGGTGGGGTTTTAGCAGCCATAGAAGGCTGGGAACACAATCATGGGGTTTATATAAGAAGAGATTTTGGAACCCCAAGGATTGAAGTGGAGAGACTAGGGACAGAGAGAGACCTTCTCAGGAGGTGATGGTGGCCAGACCAGGTCTAGACAAGGGCAATGCAGATGGAGAAGGCGAAGCATACCCAGGGACAGGGCTTGGGACCATTTACTGGCACGGGGATGGGGTGGGAATGGGCTTCAGGGAGAGTCCAGGATAAGGTGATGGTTTGGACCCGTGTGATGGGAACAGAGGTGAGGAGGAATTCACTGACTTGAGAGACACTGTGTTAAGATGTTTGTTACTTGACCTCCCCGTGTCTTCAGTTTCCTCATCTGTATAATGGGAGTGATTAAAACACCACTACTACCTCATCATAGAGTGGTTGTGAAGACTGAGTTATTTATGCAGAAGTTGGACCAGTACCTGGCACAAGCTGAGCTCTTGTGAAACGTTAGCTTGTGCTGCTATGACTTCACCCCTGGGCTTTAGGTTGACATGACCCACACTTCTGGTTTCCCAATTGGCATCTTCTGTTCAACCCCTCCCATTGCACAGGGTCTTACCCATGCCTAAACCTACCCACCTGCCCTCATGAACTTCAGGCCCTGGGGCACAGGTTATATTATCCAAGAATAACCACAATAATATTTCAAGGCCCACATGTCTTCCAGAATCTTCTGTCTCCTCATTAAAAGGTGGGATGAAAGGAGAGTCCCCTCCCCCTGGGCCTGGGCAAAACCTCCTGATTCTCTCAATGAAAAGAGTACAGCAGAAGCAAAACTAGATCGTTAAAAACAAGGTGACATCTTCCTGACTTTTTCTCTTGCAATGTGCATCTTTGGAGTCCTGAGCCTTCAAGTGAGAAGTCCAGCCTCCCAGAAGACACCATGCTGGAGACTCCGTGAGAAAAGACCACACACATAGAGGTAAAAAGGGATACCCAGTGAACCCTAGCCATTGGAGTCTTGCCAGCCACATGAGTGAAGACCCTTTCGAGATGGTCCAGCCCAGCCCAGGTCTCATTAGAATCTCATAAGCGATCCCAAGTGAAAACCACTCAGTCAAGCCACACCTGAATTCCTATCCCATAGAAATCTTCAGAAATAACGAAAAGGTGTTGTTGTTTTAATCCATTAGGTTTTGGGGGTAATTTATTATGCAGCAATAGATATCCAGAATGTCCTGCATTTCCACTGTGTATCAGTTTTCTTTTGCTGTGAAAACAAAACTTAGTAGCTTAAAACAATAACCACTCGTTTAGCTTGTGATTTGTTGGGTCAGCTGGGGGCTTCTTCTGGCCAGCTCAACTCAGCCAGTCTCTGCTGGGATCACTAATGAACTCATGGGACCCTGTCATGAGGGTTTTGCTGGAATCTGCCTTTTCCACAGACCGGGAAACCATTGTGTTAAGACAGGCTACTCTTACCAAGATGGCAGTCACCATCAACAAGATGATAAAAGACCTCACTAAGATGGTAGAAACTCTCATTAAGATGGTGGATGCACTGATCAGCATGGTGGATGCCCTCACCAAGACGGTGGATTCCCACTCCAAGATGGTGGATGCCCTCACCAAGATGGTGGATGCCCTCACCAAGATGGTGGATGCCCTCACCAAGGTGGTGAATGCCCTCACCAAGATGGTGGATGCCCACTCCAAGATTGTGGATGCCCTCTCTTAGATGGGGGATGCTCCAACCAAGATGGTGGATGCCCTCTCCAAGGTGGTGGATGCCCACTCCAAGATGGTGGATGCCCTCTCCTAGATGGTGGATGCCCTCACCAAGATGGTGGATGCCCTCACCAAGATGGTGGATGTCGTCACCAAGATGGTGGATACTTTCTTCAAGATGGAGCATATTCCACACCCTGCACCCCCTTCCAGACCCTCCACCTACTATTTCCATCATCTAGTAACACTCAGGACCAGAAGATCACCCTTTGGCAAGCCAAGTGGTTATTTACAATGGACAATAAATAGCATCAGGTTTGGAGACAATTCAAGCCATAAATGTCATGGAGTTCTCTTCTGGCATGTACACATAATAAAACCAGAAAATTTTAATTTGAGACATTCAAGTTAAAAAAGTCACAAAGTCTTCCATACCTGGGCTCTCTGTCTCCAATTATCCCCATCCAAGCATATTCGTCAGACTTCTCCACCCCACAACTTCACAACCAGCCCAACAGCTCAAGGTGGAAACCATGTGTTCTTGATCTACTTCTTTAGCAACGCTGTGCTCAATTCTTGGTCCTAGTAAAATAAGAATTGGACCATAGAACCAGTCGAAGCCACCTTCCACCTCTACCACTTGCTACGTGTGTGTGTGTGTGTGTGTGTGTGTGTGTGTGTACATCAAAACTGTCCAGTAGGTGGGTACACTCAACCCTGTGCATAAATGGGACACCTGAAATTATCCCCTCCTCATGACCTTTTATATCAGACCAACCCATCTTTGTGTCACATTCTGCTGTTTTAAGTCTAGTATCTTCATCTCCAGTGAGTCTGTTGCTGTTGTCTGTTTTTCTTCTTGGATTTAAGTTATGAGGCTCTGTCTCTGGGTATACCTAGTAATTTTTGATTGAATGCCAGACATTGTGAAAAACTGTAAGGATCATTTGTGGCTCTTGGTGTTATTTTCCTCCAGAGAGGGTTGACTTTTGCTTCTGGCAGGCAGTTAGAGCAAAGGCAGATTTCTTTAATCTATTCGGGGTGTGAGCTGATTTGAAGATGGATTTTGGTCTTGGTGAGGGTTGGTCTGTGTCTGGTCTCTCCTTACTTCTAGGGTGTAGTCTTTTGGGGGTCCCAACCCTCTCCTCTTTGTGTGACCTGAATTCCAATGTTTGTTTTCCCAGTCCCATAACATTTCCAAAAGCGACACTCAGCTTTTCAGCCTCTTTCTGGTCTGCTTCCTAGTTACTCAAGAAATTTGTTCAAATCAACAACTCATTTATGAGAAAAAAAGCACTGTATTATGTCACCTTCACCTCTCTAAGTTTCTTTACTCTCCAGGATCCTGATCCCCCAAGCCCAGGCTGCCAATGCCTTCAAATCAAGGGGGGGGGGGGTTCCCTTACAATTTGGTCCAGCATTTCTAGTTGCTCTTAGTGGAAAGGTAAATCTGCAGTAAGTTAGCCTGTGATCATTAGAAATAGATGCCCCTGCTGTATTTTTAAAGTACGATTTTGAGCAAGTCTCCCAATTGTTAAGTCTGCTCTAAATTCACTGTCTTTTCCCTGGTTCTGCGTTCTCGGGTCTCTGCTATTGGTACCATCTTTGATGGAGGTGCCCCATTAATCCCCTAGGTTTCCCTAGGGTTCTCATATCTGCTTTCCATCCAGAGTTCTGGAAGATTCAAGTCGCTTGTCCAGGGAAAGACTGTGGCAGGAGATGGGGAATTAAAACCCATTGCACAGCCCAGGAAGTGGTTTTTTAAATCTCCACGAGCTGTCCCCTGAACTTCCATGTATGTGTGTGTGTATAATTGTGTGTGGGGGTGTGTATCTGGCTGTGAATGTATGTCTATTTGTGTGTGTGTGTGTGTGTGTGTGTGTCTGCCATTGTCTATATGTGCTTGAGAGTGTGTTGGGTGTTGGAATATGGAGTGTGTGTTTCTATGTCTTTCTGTGAGGGAACAATTTGGGGGTCATCTGTTCATACTATGATAGCTGAAGTCACGGGGAAGGTGCAGACGGGATCAGCAGGGGCAGTGACGAGATCATGGAGCCAAGGACAGAGCCCTGGGAACACAGAGTAGGAAGTCCAGGCAGAGAAAGGAAGATGAGTCAAGTCAGGAGGGGAGGCTGGAAGGAGCCTGCAGAAGAGGGTAGAGCATGTGGTATCAAGAGAAGGGTGGGTTTCAGGAAGGGAAGAGTCAGAGGTGTCCAATAAGGGAGAAATTAACAAGTGGCCACTGGATTCAGTGCAACAGAGATCCATGAGACTGAAGAGGATGAGAATAATACTGCAGTGGGCCGTGGAGTCCAACAGGTAAAGATAGGAGTGTCGCCAACTCTTTGAGAAGGGAAAAGGACTAAGGAGGCATCGAAGAGAGAAGAGGCAATAGCTCCTCCTTGGAGCGGGTAAGGGCGGACCAGGAGGTGAGGAAGGAGAGGCCCTTGATCTTCTCACCAGTGAGGGTGGTTTGGAGCTGGGAAGCCACATAAAGGATGTCAGGGAGTGGTGGGGTAGGGTCAACAAGGACCAAAGTCAGGAATTTTTGACACAAGTGAAAATGCAGGGAAGGGGCTTTCACCACCAGGGGGCAGCACACACACAGGATCACAGAGCCTCTTAACACCACCCGGAGAGTCAAATATAAACCCCACGTAGACAAGTTGACACTCAGGACTTGCACGCAGGACTGACAGGTACAAAAGCATGCTGCCTACCCTGAGTGAATCATTGTGCAGCATACGCATGTATTGAAACAACACACTGTTAACCCCCGTGTACGAGTAAACGTTAAAATACTTCTAATTAAAAAAAAAAAAGACTTGCATGCAAACACACACCCAAAGACCCGAGAACACACACCCTATACGCCAATGCATAAATGCGCCATCAAACACACAGAGACAATGAGGGCTGGCCGGTTAGCTCAGTTGGTTAGAGCGCAGTGTTATAACACCAAGGTCAAGAGTTCAGATCCCCATACTGGCCAGCCGCCAAAAATTTTTTAAATTAAAAAAAAAAAAAAAATGAGGGCCGGCCCGGTGGCGCACTGGGTAGTGC